ATATATATATATATATATAATAATAATAATTATTATGTAAACAAGATTAAACTAAACCTTCTGTCCTGAATGCTTACAGGAAAGTATGAGTTCACGAAGTAGAAGACTTAGGCCTAAATTTATTCAGAATATTTAGTTAACAATGATTGTAATACAGTAAGCATTAATTTTTCTGAGCATAGTATGGTAATTATAAACTTTAAGATGCAAATTATCATGTTGCATGTTTCTGTTCTGGATTTAGACTAGACATGACCTGTCCTTCAATTGAGATTGATGTACTAAAACACTAAAGAAATGGGACAAAATAAGTGAAATGTAATTTCAATACATAATTAAGGCTTCTAGGTGGAATAGAGTGATAACATTGCAGCTTTATTTTACTAACTGACTGAAGTCATGGTTTAATAAAGTATATTAATTAGTATCTCATAAAAGGAGAATCAGAATTTACTCCCAAAAATGTAGTTTGATAATGAAAGAGGCTAGGTGTAACTTAGTGGTTAGCATAACAGACTGTGAATCCAAAGTTGCATGCTTTTCATTTCATTGCTTAAAAAGAACATTCTTAATTTGTAGATATTTTTATGCTTACTAATTTAAAAGTTATAGCATGAAAACTATAACAAGCACAAAATGGTTACAAGGTCAGTCCCAGGGACCAAGCCCATACTGAAAGAGTTAACTGAAAATTTATTTTACTACAGAAAGTATGCTTTTTTGTTACATCAGCCACAATTTTCAATTAACTACAATAGGCTTACCTTACAAGCATTAACTCTGACATTTAAGCTTAACTTCTGATTTTACAAAAATAACAAAACCACTTTGTCCTATCTATCAAAAATACAATTTATCATTTGTAAAATTATGTGCAAACAACATTTCAAATTACAAATGCAAACAAAAGCACCATTAATAATTCTAAATCTGTTTTCTCAGGAATTAGAATAAGTTAATGATTTGATGACTTTACTGTTGTGTTATTAACTGTAGTATTATAACATGGGGAATTAATGCTTTGGTTATTTTGCATAATACAGATTTAAAGTTCCAGAAATTATTTATGTATTCGGTTTTTGATTGTCAAACTGTATTGTTCTGTTTCGTGTTTGGTGACCTAAGATTGAAGAAATGACAAAGATGGTATGCCTTCAAAATAAAAACAGGCTGTAGCAGTTTCTAGTTGATTCCATCTGAAAAATTGTGGATACAAAATAGCTCACAGAAAAGAGTCCAAACACCCAAAAGTTCAAGTAATTACAACCAGATATTTCCAAAGGACAAGAAAAATAATTCAACAAACTAGAGATTTGTGATGACAGAATAAACAAGATTACCTTTAGGTGCATTCTGAAGACCATTGCACTTCTCCCACACATTTCCTACTGATGGTAACTGCTGACCACTACAGAGTGGGAAGATTTAAAGTATAAATACTTAAAAGTGAAAAAAATCATCCCATTCATATAGTATTTTGTGTGAGCATCTACTACATTACTTTATCACCAATAGTTTTTATTCTAATGAAAGCAACATCATTGACTCTCATGAAAACTTTCTTTAACATTTATTATACATTTGATCCACTAGTTACAATATTTACTGTACTATAAAGAAAATGTAAAATGGTATTGTGTAACAAGGTAAAATTAAAAAGAAGCTTGTTATTTATGTTTAAATACAGTATACAGTCATTCTGTATACAAAATTAAAAAACTGTTATGTCATAAATTTGAAGACTTTTTTTCTATAAACTTTGCAAACAAAGGAAACAATGAATTGCCTGCCTTGCAATTTAAAATTTTTCTTATTTAAATCCATAACCACATAATGTCAAATTCTCCGATGTTACTGTTACTACTTATATTCCAGATATATCACCTAATTTTCCATCCACGCACACAAATTTTACCAGATTAAAATTATTTAATAGTTTCTACCTTAAAAAATAACCTATTCAAGCTGAACTATATAAATAATTAAGATTCTTAAATATGCAACTTTCATTTATGTATTTTTACAATTTCACTTTTTTTTTGTGGAGTAAACAACACAAAATTAATTTATTATTAAAAAAAGTATAAACATAGTCAAGTCATAGTTATACAAAACTGTGTACAAATGGACAATCAAATTAATTACAAATTAAAATCAAATAAATTGCTCAATGGTCTTTGTGAAAAGTTGGTTCATTAAATGTGGTACAGCGTTTTTTCCATAAAATATTACAGTTAAGTGTAAGATATGTTCAATGTCTTCTGTAAATTCCAATATTATTAAAACAACAATTTAATCTTTAAGTTAATTTGAAATGTTCCAAGAACACGTGTTAATTTTTCTACAACCATAAAAATGTGTCATATCATCATTAATACTGATCTTTTGGATTTAATATAATTTATAGTCTTTTGTATGCTTTCATTAGTTGGTTTTGAATATTTGTGCAAAGACACACAAAGGCTATCTGAAATAGCCATCCATAACTTTAAATTGATAGAGTGAAAGCATCTAAATGAAAGCACTCACTGCTAATTCATAGGATACTCTAATCAAACGAAACAATTGCTAACGAAATTTGGCAGATTATTAGTAAACATTACAATGCTTAAGTCTTAAGGTTTGTTAAGAAATGTTTTTCTCACACCTTTTTTTTTCTTTTCCAACGTTGCCTATCCAACATGCAAAGTAATGTTAATTTTAAAATTAAAAATATTTCTATGCATCAGAAAATTTTCAAATTTCACATACAAAATCTTTATAATGTCCAGATAGTTATCAAATGTTTCTTCAGAAAAACCTTTATATTTTATCTGTTATTTTAACTAACAAATCCCTGTACGGGTTCAATAGGTTTGACAGATCTTGTAACCACCATAAAATATTAGGAAATAAGTATAAATTATGCATCTTTCATTCTAGAATGACAACAAATTATAACACAAAAACATAAATATTTAGACTAAATAGCTTAAATCTCATAACATTATACATTTATATATATTTATGATTTTTATTATATTGACCTTTCAGCCATACCTGGCTAACAATACAGAAGTTACAATGACACGTGCTCTCATGTACCGTATCAGATATTATGAAACTGACCTTTAGTCTTTACAAAGTGACCTGTCTTGGCTGTGTTTTACTAAACTAGTATTATTTCCATTATTATACATTTTATATGTATATATAGATTATTACTGTTTATAAATAAGTTCATAAACTTATTTTTCTTAAAACGTAGAATACTAAAGAAAGAATGAAAATAAACAATTATCTCTTCTAGTTACGACCTTTGTACTGGGTTGCTACTTGACGAAGGTTGCTAAGTCTTTTAAAATTTTGCACGTGGAGGATATGAAACGAAATAATTTTTTTAGGTTTTATATATATATATATATAAA